CTTTTGTCTTTAGTTTAATGTTTTCTTAGCCTTTCATGCGACGAAATAATGTTTCCTTTTGGGGAAGCAAGATTGCATTAATCTCGTAAATCACAAAAGTAGGAGATGAGTGTCTTAATTATGCGTGGCTTTCAGCTTAGTTGACACGTTAGTCTCTCTGATTTTGATGAATGAGTAACAAGAAAACAAAGAAATGGTTAGTTGATACCTACGTAGAAACGAGATCCTTATGGTTCGTTGATATACCTATGTAGAAACGATATCATTTTGGTGTATTATTCAATGATTCGAAACATCTTTCTGTGATGATAAGTGGTTCTACACAAATCATAAGTATACATCTTTTTCTCTGTTTTATTTGTGCTTTTATTTTTAAAACTTTTTACTAGTAATAAGGAAGCGGCAAGCGGAGTGATGAAGCCTAATAACTTAGTTGGTGATGAAAAAGAGAGTGACGGAAAAATGTATGCGAATCAGGAGTGTAATGGATACATATCCTATTTAAATAGAGATTTTGATTTTTAAGTGTTTTTTTTTTTTTTGTTGACTTGATTGATGAGTGGGTTGTCAGCCGGCCTCTCCTCAACCCATCGCCGGTTGGCCTCCACCGAGTCCCAATCCCCGACGTTAAATTACTAAAAAATAAAATTTAGAGTTGAAAGTATCAAATTAAGAGACTCTAAGGTTTAAATTATCAAAAATAAAATTTGAGGTTGAATGTATCAATTAAGAGAGTAGAGTTTAAATTACTAAAAAATAAAATTCAGTTGAAAGTGTCAAATTAAGAGAGTGCGTTAAGGTGCCAATAACCCTTTTTTAATAAGCACATGTCAGTTGAATTTGCATGAGTCTGCAGTGCATTTCCTTTGAGAATTGAGGCTTAAGACGTATTGTTCCTTCTTTTGTTCTCTGCTTAATTTGCTGGTTTCTTTTCAGATGTTCATCCGTAATTAACTTACTGTTTTTACTCTGCTTTTAGGAAGAAAAAAAATAAGAGAAGTGGCAATAATATAGTTTCAGTACATGTTTGGAATCACGATTTATTTAAAGAAAATTAGAATAGTAACTTTGAAAGTGTTTAATGGGACAAAAATGATTTTAGATGTCCGAATAAGTAATAAAAATGTTAGAATTAAATTTATAAAATCTTATTAAAGTTTTGGTTCAATTATTGAGTTTTTCTTAAAAGAACTCTTTTTAAATATTCACGTAATACGGCTTTGACAGGAAGTTCATTTGCCAATATTAAAACTGATCTTATGAAAAAAAA